TTGTACTGAATGGGGAAAAGCTGAAAACATTCCCTCTAAGAACTGGAACAATATAACAATGCCCACTTTCAGCACAAATACAACATAGCCCTAGCCAGAACAATCAGGAAAGAGAAAGAAATAAAAGGCATCCAAATTGGAAAAGAGGAAGTCAAATTATGTCTCATTGCAGATCTAGGAAAACCTAAAGACTCCACCAAAAAACTTTTATATGATGAATAAATTCAGTAAAGTTTCAGAATATGAAATCAACATACAAAAATCAGTAGCATCTCTACACACCAGTAGTCAACTAACTGAGAAAGAAATCAAGATGGCAATCCCATCTACAATAGCTATAAAAAAAGATACCTAGAAATAAATTTAAAGAAGTGAAAGACCTCTACAAGGAAAACTACAAATCACTGATGAAAAGAAATTAGAGGACATAAATGACATTCCATGCTCATGGATTGGAGAGATTAAGATCATTAAAATGACCATACTATCCAAAGCAATCTACAGATTCAGTGCAATTCCTATCAAAATACCAATGTCATTTTTCAAAGAGAAAAAAGCAATGCTAAAATTTATATGGAACCAAAAAAGAGCCTGAATAGCCAAAGCAATCCTGAGCAAAAGACCAAAGCTGGAGGCATCATACCACCTGACTTCAGAATATAGTACAAAGCTATAGTAATCAAAACAGGATGGGAGTAGAATAAAAACAGACCCATAGAACAATGGGACAGAATAGAGAACCCAGAAATAAATCCATGTATTACAGTCAACTAATTTTCAAACAAACATGCCAAGAATGTTCATTGACACCTTCTTCAGTAAATGTTGCTGGGGAAATTGGATACCCATATGATACGCAGAAGAATGAAACCAGACCCCTATCTCTCGCCACATTCAAAAATAAGCTCAAAATTGATTTAAAAAATTAAACACAAAACTTGAAACTCTAAAACTACTAGAAGAAATCATAGGGGGAACATTCCAGAATGTTGGTCTAGGCAAAGATTTTATGGCTAATACCTCAAAAGCAGAAGCAACAAAAACAAAGACAAGTGGGATTATATTAAACTAAAAAGCCTCTGCACATCAAAGGAAACAGTCAACAGGGTAAAGAGACAACCTGTTGAATGGGAGAAGTTGTTTGCAAACTATCCAACAAGGAACTAATATCCAGAATATAAAAGGAACACAAACAATTCAACAGTAAAAAACATAACCCTATTAAAAGTGGGCAGAGGACATGAATAGACATTTCTCAAAAGAAGACTTAATAAGTGCTCAACAAGTATATTAAAAAATTCTCAGCATCACTAACCATTAGGGAAATGCAAATCAACACCACAATGAGATATAATCTTACTCCCGTTAGAATGGCTATGAGTAAAGATAAAAGATAACAGATGCTGGTGAGGATACAGAGAAAAGGGAACTTTTATGCATTATTGGTGGAAATTTAAATTAGTATAGCCACTATGGAATACAGCATGAAGATGTCTCAAAAAACTAAAAACTACTATATGATTCAGCAATCCTACTACTGGGTTTCTACCCAAAGTAAAGAAATCCATATGTCAAAGCTGCCTGTTTATTACAGCACTATTCACAATAGCAAAGATATGGAATCAATATAAGTTACCATGAATAAACAAAGGGGTAAAGAAAATGTGGTATATATGCACAGTGGAATACCAGTCAGCCTTTAAAAAAGGATGAAATGTCATTTGCAACTACATGGATGGACCTGGAGATCATTATGCTAAGTGAAATAAGCCAGACACAGAAAAGCAAATATCACATGTCCTTACTTATATATGAGAGCTAAAAAAAATTGATCTCATGGGGGTAGAGAGTAGAATAATAGATACCAGATGCTGGGAAGGATGTTTGGGTGAGGGAAGATAAAAAGGGATTGGTTAATGGGCAAAAACATACAGTTAGATGGAATAAGTTCTAATCTTCAAATGCCCAGTAGAGTTGTTATAGTTAACAATATTTCAAATATTTGAAAATGGCTAGAAGAGAGGACTTGAAATGTTCCTAACACATAAAAATGATAAATATTCGAGGTAATGGACACCCAAAATACCGAGTTGGTCATTACAGCCTATATACGTAACAAAATAGCATATGTACTCCATAAATATGTACAAATATTATGTATCATTTTTTAAAAATCAAATCAAATATAGAAAGTCAGCCATAAACAATTAGAGATTATCAAAACTATTTGAAATATGACTACAATTTATTGCAAAACATCACTTATTTCATTATCTCATCCCTTTTAATTTCATGTTTTACATCTATATAAGTAAACATAATTTATAAATAAGCATACATAAGCTTAAAATAGGATTGTTCTTGACTAAGGAGATTTGAGTCTTTTTAATTTCAAAGTATTGTGGAAGTACAAATGTTTTTGGTTACATGGATCACTTTTGTAATGCTTGAGTCAGGGTTATTTATAAGTGTCCTTGTCAACCCAGATAGCATTCATTGTACACATTAGGTAGGTTTTGCTCAGTCCCTCCCCTTGATTGATTTCCATTGAGTTATACTTCCCTCTATGCACATGTGTGCTCATAAATTAGTTCCAATTTAATAGTAAGTATATGCGGTGTTTGTTTTTCCATTCTTTAGATACGTCACTTAGGATGATGATCTCCAATTCAATGCAGATTGTTGCAAAAGGCATTATTAATTCATCCTTCTTCGTGATTGAATAGTATTCCATGGTTTACATACACGTTTTATTAATCCACTCATAAATTGATGGGCACTTGGGTTGATTCCACATCTTTGCAATTGTGAATCGTGGTGCAATACACATTCAAGTATATATCTCTTTTTGATAAAATGATTTCTTTTCCTTTGGGTAAATACCCAGTAGTTGGATTGCTAGATCAAATGGTAGGTCTACTTTTAGTTCTTTGAGGAATCTCCATACTATTTTCCATAGGGACTATACTAATTTGCAGTCCCACGAAAGGTGTATAACTGTTCCTTTCTCTCTGCATCCACACCAGCATCTACTGTTTTTGGACTTTTTAATAAAAGCCATTCTAACTGGGGTAAAATAATCTCTCATTGTGGTTATAATTTGCATTTCCCTGATGATTAGTGATGTTGAGCATTTTTCATATGTTTATTATCCATCTGCCTGTCTTCTTTTGAGAAGCTTCTGTTCATGTCTTTTGCCCATTTTTTAATGAGGTTGAGTTTTTTTCTTGCTTATTTGCTTGAATTCTTTGTAGATTCTGGTTATTAGTCCCTTATTCAATGTATACCTTGTGAATATTTTCTCCTGTTCTGTAGGTGGTCTATTTGCCAGAAGCTTTTTAATGCCATACTGTTTTAGTTACCATAGCCTTGTAATATGGTTTGAAGTCTGGTAATGTGATGCCTCCAGATTTGTTCCTTTTGCTCAAGATTGCTTTGGCTATTCAGGCTCTTTTCTGGTTACAAATGAAGCATAGAATTTTTTCTATATGTGTGAAATATGACTTTTGTATCTTGATGGAGATTGTAATGGATCTATAAATTACTTTGGGAAGTATGGACATTTTAACAATGTTGATTTTCCTAATCCATAAGCATGATATATTTCCCCATTTGTTTACATCATCAGCAATTTCATCAGTGTTAGTAGTTCTCTTAGTAGAGATCATTTACCTCCTTAGTTAAGTATATTCCTAGATATTTTATTTTCTTTGTAGCTCTTGTGAATGGTATTGAGTCTTTTATTTGACTTTCAACTTGACTGTTATTGGTATAAAGGAATATTACTGATTTGTGTATGCTAGAGAAAGAAATTATGGATATCGAAATTGGGAAAGAGGAAGTCAAACTATCACTTTTTGCTGACAATATGATCTTATATCTAGAAAACCCCAAAAATTCCACCAAGAGACTCCTGGAATTGATAGATAAATTAAGCAAAGTCTCAGGTTACAGAAACAGCGAAGTTTGACTTTAAATAACTATACTAATACCCAAATGAATGCAACCTTACAGTCAGAATAAGCAGCCTGATCTACAACATAATATTTAAGATTACTCAATTGTTAAAATGGATGAACCGGCCGGGCGCTGTGGCTCACGCCTGTAATCCTAGCTCTTGGGAGGCCGAGGCGGGCGGATTGCTCAAGGTCAGGAGTTCAAAACCAGCCTGAGCAAGAGCGAGACCCTGTCTCTACTATAAATAGAAAGAAATTAATTGGCCAACTGATATATATATAAAAAATTAGCCGGGCATGGTGGCGCATGCCTGTAGTCCCAGCTACTCGGGAGGCTGAGGCAGAAGGATCACTCAAGCCCAGGAGTTTGAGGTTGCTGTGAGCTAGGCTGACGCCACGGCACTCACTCTAGCCTGGACAACAAAGTGAGACTCTGTCTCAAAAAAAAAAAAAAAAAAATGGATGAACCAGAATTTGTTTCAATTTAGAGCTTCACAGAATCATGTCTCTCCAGTTTATTCACTGCTAAAACAAGATATAAGAGACATTCTTCTCAAAACTTTGATGCAATAACTGGACTGAATGAAATTCAAGGTATAGATTTAAGGTTAAGTTAGTGATAAGAAGTTATAAACAGTAACAGCAGTTGTGAAATGAAACATGAATAAAGTTTACATTTAGAAAATGTTCTCATGTGAAAATAATTACATTTGATCCTCACAAATATTTGAACTGATTAGATGTTATGAGAAATCTGAGACTCAGAGCTAAATAACTTGCCCCAGTAAAGTGACAGAACTAGGCGAGTATCTTGACTCTATATCCTGTGCTCTTTGCTAACTTTACTGTCCCTGCCCTTAACACTCAATGTTAGAAGCAGCTTCTGGTAGTTGCTCATCATTGAAAAAAACTCTCAGGAATACAACATACCACTCAGTGAAATCAAGACATGCTTCATTCATGGTACTTGTATTCATAATTCAGCTTTCTTTCTGAGCACTTATCTGAATTTAATGAGCTTTAACATGTTCATACATATTCTAGGTTTCCATAGACGTGCAGCTCCAGTTACAAGAAGGCAGTTCCCACATGGTGCACACAGGATGGACTACCTGCACTTTGAGGATGATAGCCGTGGATGGTGGTTTGACATGGATATGGTGATCATATATATTTATTCAGTGAACTGGGTCATTGGATTCATTGTTTTCTGCTTTCTTTGCTATTTTTTCTTTCCGTTTTAGGAATTTTCATACCTACTACAGTTGAACAATCATAAAAGATGTAAATAACAATTGCTTAAACATTTTTTAAATGTGCTTTGAAGTTTTTATAATGTTGCATTATATAAATTGTTGGTGTTTATAGAAAGCCTGACAATAATGGACTTATTAATGTTTTTCATGTAACAAACCAACTTTATTTAAAAGCTAATCTATCCAGCGCTTAGCAACAATGCACTATTAATTTCATAGTTGTTCTTGGTTTAGGATTTGGGGTTCTAATTTTACTGTGTCACTTTTATACTTACTTTGATTATAAAGACTGGTTTTCCCTCTTAAAATAGTTAAAATACAAAATGAAATGATAATCTGAACAGACAGTATTTTAACTGATGAAATATTTAGTCAATCATTACTTATTCTCAAGCAAATTATATTCATTAAAGATAAACAACATTTTCTGGGAACTAATCTAGCAAGGTATATTCAATATTGGTATCCAAATGCCTTTACTTATGTCCCCTTCTATTACCAAGAAAACTGACTATCCTTTTTGTACAGATCTAATTAGTACAGTAATTTTAATTGTTATAAGCAACAGAAGAGTAAAACTATGTAATACTACAAACTTTGGGACTAACCCCCTCCAGTAGACACTTTAGAGACCTATATTAACACTTTCCAAATTACAGGATAAATAACCTGAAGAAATAAACAATTCAACAACTTTCAGTAGTCTAAAAGAACAATGCATGTCCAAACTGTAATTAATTTAGCATTTATTTAAGTAGAAGATTGTCAAATATATTGTAAATGTGCAATAAAGAATGGCTTTTTAATTTTTTATTGTTATGAAGTGATTTAATGTCTGGAATAAAGAATTGTTGGAAATAGGCTAATAGGCTTATGGATTTTTAGAAAGAAAACCTGACATATTTTTATTTGTAATTATAATAATCCTTTAATATTTTTCTTATCAAAAGGAAAAAAGAGATCTGAATCATTACAATCTGGGAAGGAATTGGGGCATGTATTCCCATTCTGAAAGTGAGAAAACTGAAGCAAAAAGAGACATGAGCTTATTTATTCCATTACTCAGGTGATCTTCATGAAACCTAGGACAGAAGTTCTAATTATGAACTATTAATCCAACATTACTACACTATGATGTCATATACCTGATAATTAAATAGGCATATTTTTACATAAAAATAGATGGATCTTTCATGGTACTACAAATACTACCACCATCCAAAACAAAGCTGGGAGCAACCAGGCTTTAACGGTTCAATCTATGAAAAGTGAAAATTTAACCTTATTTCTGTTAACTGTATTTGAGCCAAAGCACTTGACTGATGGTATGTAATGTTCCAAGAAATATAGAAGAATGGCACAAATTCTTATTCTAATACTATTTTCATTATTGTGTTTAAAATTATATTTATAAAATAAGTTACATTAGACATCAAATCCAGAAATCAGAAAACTAAATACAGTACAAAAACAGATAAATTTGTGTCATAAATGGATATTTATAATCACTAACTTATTGCTCAACATAAAAATATAAGAGAAAATGTCAGCCCTCCTAAAATATATAAGATTTAAAATTGATAAAACATGTATGGGATGGAGATAAAATAATTTTTAAATTCTTAAATTATTCTTAAAATTGTAACCATTTCCCAGAAAATCCTGGCTTATATGCTTTAGCAAATGTCTTGATTCATTTCTGTATTACTTTAAAAGTTTAATTATATGTAAATTAAAGTAAATAAGTAGTAATATAGATACAAATTTCTCATTGAAACAAAGTTGATTCCCCTATATATTTGTTAGATCAGTGATACATATCAGTTTATAGATGTGTATCTACAAACTATATACAAATATATATAATACCCTTAAATATATACACTCAAAAAAAAGAAAGCATAATTTCGAAGAGCACACCAAATGGATTTATCATATCTTGATTAATAACCTCATCTGAAAATTACATGATTTGTCATATTAAAATTAAAAGTAAATTTAGAAAATTATAAATTACTAATTTATTTTAAAATGTTTTTAAATTTTATACCAATGGTGCTAAAAGCTACTAAATATTAAGAAGTATAGCATTTCCTAAAGCTATAAGTTTATAAGAAGCCAGATAAAACCTGAAATGAAAAGAAACCATTTTCTTCTGTAATAAAGAACACAGCAGTCATTCAATAGATAATTGATTTATAAATAAAGTAGATGAATGAGCTTTAGAATAAAACAAAAAATTCTCATGCTATTCTTTGGCATCTCACACAGTATTAATAACATAAAAACTCATTTTCCAATAAAGAGCCAAGCAAAAAAAAATTTTAAAACTAAAGAAGTACAAAATTTATCCCTAGTAATATTTCATAAGTTTAATTTTATGAGCTATCACTAACAATTTCTATTTCTACTGAGCTTAATTCTGGTGAAGGTTAATTTTAAACATGTTTACATGTTCATTAAAACAATGCCCTATAATCAGGGAAATGCAAGCCAAAACCACAATGAGATATCACTTAATTCCAGTGAGAATGGTTTTTATCAAAAAGTCCCAAAACAATAAATGTTGGGGTGGATGTGGAGAGATAGGAACACTCATACACTGCTGGTGGGACTGCAAATTAGTACAACCTCTGTGGAAAGTAATATGGAGATACTTCAAAAAGCCACAAGTAGAACTACCATTTGATCCAGCAACCCCATTACTGGGCATCTACCCAAAGAACAAAAGATATTCTATAAAAAAAAACATCTGCACTAGAACATTCATAGCAGCACAAATTACAATTGCAAAGATGTGTAAACAACCCAAGTGCCCATCAATACATGAGTGGATTAATAAAAATGTGGTATATGTATACTATGGAGTTCTACTCGGCCACAAAAAACAATGGTAATCTAGCACCTCTTGTATTATCCTGGATAGAGCTGGAACCCATTCTACTAAGTAAAGTATCACAAGAATGGAAAAACAAGCACCACATGTACTCACCATCAAATTGGTATTAACGGATCAACACTTAAGTGCACATATATTAATAACATTCATCTGGTGTTGGGCAGATGGTAGAGGGAGGAGGAGATAGGTGTATTCACACCTAATGGGTGTGGTGTGCATCGTCTGGGGGATGGACACATTTGAAGCTCTGACTCGAGTGGGGCAAAGGCAATATGTGTAACCTAAACATTTGTACCCCTGTAATATGCTGAAATGAAAAATAATTTAAAAAAAAAAAGAAAAGACAATGCCCAGATTGAGGTATGTATCTGAATACTTTCAGCAAGTAATTTATTTCTTAACTTTAAAAAAGCAAATTTATAATCCCAGACCCATTTATTTTATACTCAGCAGAAGCTAGGGGGATCTAAATTAGACAAAATGGAAAAGGAATCAGAATTTATGTTGTACAGAGATTCTACAGTGAATTACCAAATTCAAGAATGGTAAAAAAACAAAAAAAACAATATTTCTATATCTGCTATATTACTAATGCCATGCTAGTATTAAATGCTAAATATAATAGCAGTACCACCATCAGTTTCACTTTTGCCTTGGAATCTTGCTCCTAAGATAGTTATAATGACATAACAAAAACATCCAGTTAATAAAATTTTCATTTAAATGTCTTCTCTTTTGCTAAATGAATACATATTCTTAAAAATCTGATTTTTATATGGGACATTTGTTAAGAAATGTCTAATAGAAGAGCATTCTCTGATTACATGCAATGGCAGTTAAAGTCTTTGATTCTTCACAGAATTCTATAGGTGAAGCCAGAGAACACTGTCATCTCAGAAAGTGTTCTGAAGGTTTTGCATACTTTAACATGCTCAACTTTTACTTCTTGAAGAGTTTCTGATATTCAGTAAATTTTTAAAGAATATTACAGTTCAACTAATGTATGCTTTTCTCCAGAATACATTTATTTTCCTTTTGCTTTTTCTTGAAGATAACACCTAAAATAAGAATTGCTTTACACATTTCAGTTCTTACTTTTTATTGTATAGATCCTAGGAGAACCATCATCAGCAAGTATCTTTAGATAATGGCATTAACATTCTATTTCAATAATAAGTACCCACTGCAATATGTAGTTTTCTTACATTCATGTTTTTTATAGGGTCAAGAAAAAAATACCATTCCCATTGTTGTTTAGGATCTCTCATCTAGCACAATTGATATACTTTGAGCATCATTTTTCTTATTTTAACACTTATAAAGTAGTTATTGGACTGCTACTACAAAGTTTATGGTTACTTCTCTTTATAAACGTAACCATCAATCTATTAAGACACAGTCTTCCTAAGTTTTCCTTATTCTTTTTTTTTGTGTTTGTTTTTGAGACAGAGTCTCGCTTTGTTGCCCAGGCTTGAGTGAGTGCTGTGGCATCAGCCTAGCTCACAGCAACCTCAAAATCCTGGGCTGAAGCAATCCTACTGCCTCAGCCTCCCGAGTAGCTGGGACTACAGGCATGCGCCACCATGCTCGGCTAATTTTTTCTATATACATTAGTTGGCCTATTAATTTCTTTCTATTTATAGTAGAGATGGGGTCTCGCTCTTGCTCAGGCTGGTTTTGAACTCCTGACCTCGAGCATCCGCCCTCCTCGGCCTCCCAGAGTGCTAGGATTACAGGCGTGAGCCACTGCACCCAGCCTTTCCTTATTCTTAATCAATATATTAAGTACTGCAAGACACAGTCCTTCTAAGTTTCCCTTACTATTTCATATATTGAGTCTAAGAACCTCACCTGAAGCATATCAGGTAAGTAACAGAATGGTTAAGTAACTGCCCACTAAAGTGAAATTTTATTATTAATAACAGCATTGCAAGAGACAAATATTGTTCTTGTAAGAACCTTGCAAATATTTTACTCGCTTTACAGGTGTCACTTTATCTACCAACAAAACCATTAAGAGGAAAATAGAAATGTAAGAAGACAATATCTAACATTTATGAAATTTCTATATCTTACTTTGCTGGGCACATTATAAGGGGCCAAAATATGCAGGAAAGACTAATGAGGGAGAATCTAGCAATTTCAGATATTTTTCATCATTGGATAAGAAAGTCATGCATGTTTTAGAATCTTGTCTTTCCATTTGTTGAGGGGGAAAAAATGTAGTTTCCTTACTATAATTAATAGCACTATGATGCATTCCAATTTAGCTATGATATAATAGTAAACTGCTTTCAGTCACATACTTCTCATTTTGCTTAAAACAGAAGCTTAGTAGGAACCTAGTTGTAAAATACATAGATTTTTAAAACATAATGATGTAGCTGCAATGTACTTTAATGTTCTCATTTCAGAAAAATATAAACTATAACTCAAAAAACAAAGTAGAGTCCTGATTTACAAGTTCTGCAGGACTAAATGGAGACTGTTGGCTATCCTAATTCCAACATTTGAAGGTAAATCAGGCAGACAAGAGTATAGTATAGCAGTCAACCTAGATCTAGAAGTCAACAGCAGTGTTAAACCTTCATATGCCTATAATAAATTTCGTTAAAAATGCATATTTTTATTCAGAAGGTGTAAGGTAGGCCCGAGATTTTACAAGGCTAATAAGTAATCAGTGATACCAATCTGTGGGCCCACGGACCACATTTAGGATAGCAAGGAACAAAGGTGGCTCATATAAAAGGAAGGCCATGAATACTGCTTTCTTGAGATTAAAACAACAGTATCACAAGAAGACAAATTTCAGATTGTTTTGGCATTTGACAATTGAATGCTGATTATCCAATATAAAGGAATTATAATTATACTATAAATATTTTAGATGAATCTATTGAGTAAGATTTGAAAT